AATTAAAATTCGATTTTTAAAAGAAACTTTTTCCCACCATCCATATTTAAATTCAAAATTTTTAACTTTTTCAAATTTCGAATTTTAGATCAGATGACGCATTCCAACATAAAAAGCAATTAAATCAGCTGATTTCTTTTTGGATACCAATGTGATGGGCAGTGAGACATTCAATGTCTTGTCTGCCACCACGAATGGTCATTTAATTATTCGATTTAAAGATTAAAATTCGATTTTTAAAAGAATTTCTTTTCCCACCATCCATATTTAAATTCAAAATTTTAAACCATTTCAAATTTTGAATTTCAGATCAGGCGACCAATTCCAACATAAAAAGCAATTAAAACACTTGATTATCCAATTAAAATTTCGAATTTCAAAATCATATTTATTAATTAATTATTCTTTTATATCTGCCACCACAAACGGTCATTTAATTATTCAATTTAAAAATTAAAATTCGATTTTTAAAAGAAATTCTTTTCCCACCATCCATATTTAAATTCAAAATTTTAAACCATTTCAAATTTCTAATTTCAGATCAGACGACCAATTCCAACATAAAAAGCAATTAAAACACCTGATTATCTAATTTATTTTGTCTGTCAGCTCTCTTGATTCTTGATTGTTATGATATTTGAATCAAATATATAACAAAGATAATGTCTTTGTTATATCATTATTGTGTATATATCATTTAAAAAATAACCGTAACGAAATTGTGAATTGAATGACAATCAGGTCTTCAATAATTGTGAAATTTGTTTTTGTTTCTATTGATATCCATGAATAGAGATCGTGAATGCATGTCCGTGAAAAGAGTTTTCTTTTTATTGAATTTAAAATTTCGAATTTCAGATTGTGTAAAATAAATACATAATTTTGAAATTTAATTGATAAACCATTTAAAATATCGAATTTCAGATGAGATGACCAATTCCAACATAAAAAGCAATTAAAACAGCTGTTTTCTTTTTGGATACCAATGTGATGGGCAGTGGGACATTAAATGCCTTGACTGCCACCACAAATGGTCATTAAATTATTCGATTTAAAGATTAAAATTCGATTTTTAAAAGATATTCTTTTCCCACCATCCATATTTAAATTAAAAATTTTAAACCATTTCAAATTTCGAATTTCAGATCAGACAACCAATTCCAACATAAAAAGCAATTAAAACACCTGATTATCCAATTAAAATTTCGAATTTCAAAACTATATTTATTAATTAATTATTCTTTTATGTCTGCCACCACAAATGGTCATTTAATTATTCGAATTCTGAATTGATTTCAAATTTTGGATTTCAATTTCAAATTTCAAATTGGAATGCTGGGAAAGGATTTGGAAATAAAAAATTAAATAAATAATAATTTCTTTCATAAATCGAAATAAAAAATCAATGAAAAATTAAGTTAATTATTTATTGTGGGAGACAACTCATTTAAAAAAATATTGTTAAATAACAAAATTATTTATATTGTAAAATAAATTCAAAATTTGGAAATAAATTAAATGAAAAATTATGTTAACAATTTGGAAATAACTCAATTTTAAATTTTAAATTCGATGAGCAGTTTTATTTCTATTACCGAATCCCCTTCAATCCCTAGATACGAAAAGATAATAAATTTGGAAACTTTCTTGCCGCCGAATATTAATCCAATCAAACCCAAGATACGAAAATATAATAAATTATGCATTGATTCCGGATTCCACCCTTAATCATAGCTACGACCGCGTGATTTTTTTCTTTATAAGAAGCATCGGAGGAGAATCCTATTGTCGTCAACATTGGTCAATTCATTCTCATTCTCTGGTGATTGCTGGGTTATAACAATTCATTCTCATTCTCATTCTCTATTGTCGTCAACATTGGTCAATTCATTCTCTGGTCAATTCATTCTCTGGTTTTCAATTTTTTTTCAATTCATTCTCTGGTTTTCAATTCATTCTCTGGTTTGTGGTTATTTTGCAATGACCATGAAGTCTGAGTCACTGGATCATTGGAGGAATTACTTTAGCACTGCCAAGTCGTATGATATATTCGATATCATTCATCATTCCATCATGGTGGCAGCTTCGGATTTCCCCAAGGAGTTCAAGCTGAGGAGAGATGGGATTGCTGAGAGATTGTTCTCTTGCATGTTGACGACTAAATGTTTGGGGTGTGAAAGGGTGGATCATGAAGACGTTGATGATGGGCTTGCCCTTGAAGCAGGGTCAAGTGAAGATGTCCGTGAAGAGGTTTTGAGGATCGGAAACCTTCTTCTTAACTTTAAAGAAGAGGTATATCCTCTCTCTTTCTTTCTCTTTTCATTGTTTTTTTTTTTCTTCCCTTCTTTATGTTCTGTATCAGTTCTTGCTTCTTTGTATTGCAATTTACTTGGATGGTTGATGAGATTTTTGAACGGATAGGTTTCTGAATTTATGAATATGGTTTTTAATGGATGGCATTTTAGTACTTCTTTGAACGTTGAATTCTTTTATGTCCTCTGGTCCCTGATTCATGTTGCTTTGTTTTGTGTCACAACAGTCGGACTCTGTCTTATTTGAGTCATTGAGGAGGCTCCAGCTGATGGAACTCAAAGTTGATCTTCTAGAGGTCTGAGCCTACAATTCAATTTTTTCCTTGCTTTTTCCAGTGCCCTTTTTTTTTAGTTCTCTAATTCTCAAAATTTAACTTTGCCAGAAAACTAAGATTGGAAAGGCTGTCAATCCTCTCCGAAAGCATGGATCAAAGGATATTAGGCAACTCGCATCGACTCTTATTGAGTATGAATAAGTTTTTCCTGGATATTTGTTTTTCATTCATGTATCATTGTTTTACAAAGAAAAATGAACCTGTTTATCTTCTTCTACATGGATCAAAGAAATAGCTTGTAACCAGTTTCTTTGGTTCCAATTAGTGGTTTGCTATTCTGGTATTGTGTGTGTAAATGAAGATTAATACAATTCACTCACTGTTGTTGCACTGACCCATCTGTAATTCTCTGTCATCAACCATCAATTATTAGATTTAGTTAGTCTGAACCTGTTTCTTAGTTAATCACACTTATGGTAGCATGTCTCTTCTGCTTAAAAGTCAGCTATTATTTATTAGTGTACAAGTTGAGATGTGGCATCTGTTTAATTTGTTCACTTGCATTCTAAACATTTTCATAATTTATTGACTTTGTAGTTGCTGGAAAGAAATGGTAGATGAGTGGTGCAAGGCTTCCACTACCACAGCTATTGCAGGTAGAAAAAAAAAATTCTGCTTTCATGTGAATAACCTGCTGCTTTTTTATCCGTTTTAAAATTAATAAATGTTTAAAAGCGGTTTTATTAAATATTTGTAGCTTCAGAAGGCACTCCAGATTCTGTAAATCCATCTGTTCCTATGGATGAAGGGGCTTTATTTCTTGCCCAAATTGGTTCAATTGAACTCTCACAGGTATGTAAATGTCCTCTTTCCCCTCTCTCCAACTTCTTGCGAGCTTTGATATTTAGAAACTGACTTCTAGTTCTCTCTGTTGGATGCTGGATGATGTACAGTTCTTCGATGGCATGGATGATTATGAAAGTGAGTTGAATTTGCAATTTCTTATGCTTAGTCTCGCTAGCTTTTGCTTTACAGTTCTGGATTTGAATTCCTCTCATCGTAGAATATGATTATGAATGGGGAATGTTTTTTCAGATCCTCAACAGAGTGGACAATTCAAGTCTGAGGCTTCCATTAAGCCATCCATCACTGCCAAGGACAGTAAGAGTCAGCAACCAAGGAAAAATGAGGTTGCTGTGAGGCTAAATAAACCAGAAACTGTTGATAATTTCCCTGTCAGACCCCCAAAATCAACTATGCAGCGAAAAAGCAATATGGAGCCAAAGATGCAGCCAAAAATAGAGAACAATACAATCCCAAAGAAGCCTCCCATGATTCAGAAAGATGTAAGAATAAAAAATCTCTCTGTGCATCTAATTTTTAGGTTTGAGTTCTCTCTGACCTTGAAATGTTGTTTATCAGAAATCCAAGTTTTCAGATGAAGAAGCTGCAGTCCAAGTAAAACTAGAGGCCACTAAGAGGAAAATTCAGGAGCGTTATCAACGAGTTGAAAATGGTTTGTTATTCCTTTACCAAAATCAAAGTCCTAAACTCCTATCTGATTTTAAGTTGTTAGAGTGTCCAGTAGTTTCTACATTCCTAGAGAATCTTCTACACTAAAGTTAATTGCCTAGAATGTTGGATTTATCTTGTCAACTTTCAGATGATTTTTTCTTTATTTGGGGGCACATTACTAAGTTCATAATTAATTGATGAAAGTTTCATTGTTGCTTGCAGCTAAGAGGCAGAGGACAATACAAGTTCTGGAAATAAATGATCTCCCCAAGCAAGGGGGTGGCCAACGAAATTCACATTTCAAACCTGGGAATCACAATAGGCAGTGGGCCAATGCACGAAGATAGAGGATTTCCAAGCTTTAGCCATTCTGTGAATTGAAGATTGATCCATTCACCATTCTTACTTGGATAGAGCTTTTTTGATCGAGTATATAGGAATTTTGAAACACTGTTGTATGATTTCAATACATAAACTCATGCAACAAGCCTCTTTTATGATTTTCAAAGTTTTAAGCAAATTCTCACATTCATTGTGTCATTTATCTTATGAGGCCTACTTCTTGAATGGATTTTAAATATGTTCAACAAATTTTTAGTTTTACCACAAAAAGAATTGAGAATATGGAGTAGCAGAGGATTACATACCAAGGATATGAGTACTTTCCCTATGTTTCCATAGAAGTTCACTCAGGAACCTAGATTATATAGATCAAGTTGAAATTCATATCACACATCAAGGATAAAATCTGATGGCAAGGTCTAACTAATTCACTATAGCTTGTACAAATCACAAACCTTGATCTTTAGTAAGTGAAAGAGTACAATTATACTAATCACAGCCATTTTATTAATCTGTATCATAATCCGAATAGCTTAATTAACATTTAAAACCTTATGGATAGATTGAAAAATTTGAGTCATAATAAGAGTGAAACTTGCTTGAAGATGGAGATTAGCCAAAGCCAAGACTGGCTAGGTAATGCTATGAAAAAACAAACAGCAGCACTGAACCACACGACAGCAGTTATTGCAATGGCATATTTGGAGAACTTTTGATTTCCACGCTGCAAAAGCCATGAAGAAAAAAACAGCAGATAATTTACTATCTTTGAATTATCAAGAGCTCAACACTAAGTCAAAGCATTACAGTTATAACAGGAAAAGAAAATCTTTAACAAAAACTGTTGATAATACTTACTTCATAGATTGCAATTTGGGACAATATAATCAAATTCATTAAAACAGAATGAGTGGAGAAAGCAACATCATTAGCAGCTACAGGTGAAACAAGAGTAAGAAATTGAGAAGCAGCTCTAGCCAAATTTCCAGATGATCATATATAACATAATATGTAGGGTTAAGCATTCTGACCTGGGGGAAATATTTGATGACTGTCATACATACTTGAATTGAGCTGCAATATAATTGATTTCCACAAAATTTTAGATGAAAATCTAATCATATCACAGCTCATAAGACAACTATAATATTAACAATTATATTAAAATAACAAAATAAAAATTAAAAAAGAAACAGAAGAATATCAACATTTCCTTGAAAGACCCTTGAAGAGGCTGATATTTTGCAATGTTACACTGAAATGACAGAAACCTTTCCTAACTACATCCCTACATCAATTTACATTATCAACATTGGGAACTAAACCTCAATGATATATGATCCATAAACAAAGACACTATGAACATAAGGCAATGGATTCAAACTTTAAAGTGAGATCACTGATTGAAGTTACCTGAAGAAACTGTGCAATATTTAACCATAATCTCAACTTTTTTAGTTCTGCATGATTTCTTTATGCCATGTTAGAGCATGACCATAAGTAATTTATCTAAGTTCACTAGTCATCTTACTTACCCCTACACTCAGATGCATATTATGTAATTCATCAAAAGATTTTATTATTTTTTATTTTTTTTATAATCATCCAATATCCCATCGCCAACGAGCTCAATTAATCAAAATTCGAGAAGAGCAGAATCACAAGGGTAGCTACCTTGAGCAGAATCACAAGAGCAGAATCCAGTACTTGGTATATGACTTGTAATGGAAATGAATTCCAGGGAACCATTTTGCTGTGTTAGTTTCTGGCGCAGAGGAAGTAATGGTATCTCTTGTGAATGAATAAAGGAAGTTGGAATCGTCCAAATATCTATGACTTGGTATATTATATTCTCTCTGTCACCAAACAGAACATGTTCAAATTCAAAGACTCTTCAGTCTTGCTTACCATAGTGTATACCTAATAATGGCAAACATGTCTATTGGCAATTTCTCACCACATGCCTCAAGAATTTCGTCATCAAAGGTAAAGCCAGAGCAAGGCCCTTTCTATGTTCACCTTTTCATATACAATACTGATCCACTTTATGGTGGTCTTTTGAATATTCAGCTGAATTCCTACACCTAATCAACAATGATACTCTTAAGCAAAAATTTTCAATGATAGTGTATTTTGCTGTGGTTTTCACCCTTGAGCTGAAATAACATCATTCTCTCTTGATATATACATTTAAGCAAACGCAAGTTATTTTAGCCTCACTATCATAGTTTTACCAAATTATTGCATCAGACACATAAAAACCTCGATATCATAGCTACTCAGTACTTAGAATTTTACGATTATATAATATAATGACACTGTTGAATAATTAGAAATCCAAAATTTGAGGCTCTCATAAGTTCTGTTGACATTTTGTTTCTTTTACCATATATATGCAAACAAACATGCTGAAACTTGCATAACCCTTTGAGTTATTACTTTAGGAGAGTATTTATCCAAATTTTAAACTTACCAACCTTTGTGAGGAATCACCTAACCAATCAACCTGTCAATGTTTTAAACTAAAAGAAATTTCACTGATCCCCTACTAACTTCAATAACCTATTAGCATATACCCTTTTATAATTTTGTGGAGACAAGACAAGGAGTGTGTTTATGACAAGACTCATCAGGGTTGGTTGGGGGGGTTAATCTCAGGGTGAAGTATGAAACAACAAAAGACAATCTCGGGTTACATCAGAAACTACTTGGTTGAACAAACTCTTTCAGTGGCTTTGTCCCAAGCTACCAAGCTATACGAAAGTAGACAATTTTGGGTTGTCTTAAGTAATATATTAATTTCATAATACTGATATATAGTACCTTATATATCAAGGGGAAAACATTGATCAATTCTAATGGACTCTTGGCTTTTCGATACTTACAAAAATATGTCCTGTATAAACGTCCAAGGAAACCTTTGTCTTTGTGTTATCCTGGCCCTTAATACTACAGAAACTCTCTGACTCTTGTCTACAGTATCACTTTTGGATGATACTCTCTCTTTCTGTCTTTTACTCTCTGTATAAGTTAGAACGGTCAAATTATACTTGGATGTATTAGCCATAACTGATACATGTTTCTTTGTGTAATGGTGAGGCCACTTCAACAGTATGGGGGTCATGTTGCTGGGTTCGGTTTTGATCATGCACAATCAGTCGTGCCTATGGGGAACCCAGCTGTACTATTCCCCGTCTCATATGGTAATGGCAAGAAACAATCTGGATATGCATGTAAGGTTTTAGCTATTGCAATGGGTATTAAGTTCCTGATTTATGTATAGGCAACCATCTAAATTTTCTGTTTCTGTTTTGCTCCTAGGCTTTTGGTGAGTTCGGTTTTGTGGCTTGAAGTTATAATCCATATTTAGAAGACAGATTGGGTGTACAATTCATTCAGACGTGGGGGAATTGTAATTTCAATCTGCATATCCATCTGTAAGTGCTCAGTACTAGCAGTGATGCATATATTTCTTTTATGCAATCACATGGACTCATTGCTATTTATTCTGTCTTTTCAATTGTTAGTTCGATCTACTGCAAAAAGCCTCCGATTCTAACATGCTACATTCTGTAATTTTTTTCCTAGTCATTTTGTCATGCTGCAACGGTTACAAAGTCTCGCTATGGAGAAGAACATTGGAGGGAATGAAGTCATGGGCCTTTAATGCTGCATCAGGTTGTCATGTTTGCCATCATTGATGTGCGGCAGTAATCTAACAAAGTGTTCTCAGATAAACACCCAAAGGCCTACTGCAATCAACCATTCATGTTTACTGTCTTTGCTGTAGGGTGTATGAAGTGGGTATTTGGCGATGAAGTCAGATTTTGTTTATGTTCTATAAAGTAGGCAGTGTGGTTTCATGGATGTAATATTGTTGCTATTCTTATGTAGTCTAAATTGTGTAAGTTAATATTGCACAGTGATATGTAAACAAGTTTCAAGTCACTTGTCCTTGACATTCTGTACTGAAGTCCTCTTTGATATTTTATTTAGTAAGATGGTTATCAACATGAATACAGTTGATGTTTAATCTGTAAGTGGTGGTCATACAGTTACTGTCTGTACGCAAATCCTTTTACTGTTTGTGCTTGCTTCCTATTATGAATGAGTAATATCAAACAGCATTTTACAGGGCAGTTGAGGAAACAAATGCTTTTGTAATGGCACCGATTAGCAATGAGAAATATCAAACAGAATGGAATGGTTTATGTATTTTCAATGCAGTAAATCAATGAACAGCAACACAAGTCAATGAACAGCAACAGTACTCACTTATATTGAATATTCAGCAACTGAGGATGTAATCCTCTTACAAAATTTGCAAGGAAATAGTAACAGGATTCCAATTACACTATTAGGACTGTGTCCTTTACAATAGTTTCTGACAACCTGTAACAATTATGGCTACACACAAATATAAACTAACAACACTAGATGAATGGCACACTCATGCTTATCCAATTACAGACTCCTTTCCTCCACACTGAACCTCACAAAAAAAATGGTGCTATCTTGCTTGTGACTTGCGTTCCCTGCCTCATGGTTTCTCTTCTCATTTGGTGTTTGCACTGTCTTTAATTCATTTCTCACTACTTGGGCTGCTGCTGCCATCCCTTGGGCTGCTCTTGCTGTCATGAAGTTCAAAATAAACACGGATTGAAGGCCATCGTATCAGTAGGTACAAAGAAAATCCATGAAGTTATTTCCCTTCTGAGGAGATTTTCATACTGGGCTATCATTATGAGAGACCTGAAGTCTCCAAGTGACATACTGGATATATACATAGTTGATTCCCATAGCAATTCCAAAACCCAAAACTGATGACAGTAGTATTGCATAAATGGCCGTCAACTGCAGCTGCAACAAAGTCACAAAGCTTAAGCACATCAAGGATACACTGAAAGTAAGTCAAGTAATTAACTAGAGAGCAGGGATTTAAGGTTTATTTAATTATTTAAGAATTAACAACCAGCAAGCAGGAAGTAACACAGATGAATCATGGCAGTTACTACTTGAAAAAAATTACTTCTAAACAAATGATTATCCAAGCTGCCCTTGGCCAAAAATTCATATACCAAAATTCGGTGATCATCCTCTAAGCAGTAACCAATCAGTTTCACAAGATTAGGATGATACAGCTGCCCCAGGTAGTTGATTTCTGTCTATAGTACGAGGTTACTTAGTCACATCACAAGGAATATCTAAAATATAGCACAAAAAAACAAGAGTCCCTAAAACATGTTTTTAAAACTAATTCAACATATTCCTTAACTTCAAAATGCAACTAAGTTCTCAAGCTTAGAGAAAAGTTCCAAAGTGTAAAAGGGCCATGCTAAGTGAAAGTGACACTCACCAACCATTCATCTGAGTCCCTGTAAACCCTCTTGGTTAAGCCTCTTCACAGCAATGACAATTCCAGTCCCTAGTTTAGTAGGAGCAAGTGTCTGCTCATCAAGCCACCCTTTAAATACACAACCAAATCCACCTTCACCCACCACACTATCTGGACGAAAGTTTCTTGTAGCAGTTCTTAGCTCATTGAATGTGAAGTTCTTCAAATTGCTGGACTGTAATATCTCACCCTCACTCCGAGGAGTCTGAAGCACAGGTGAAGTGGAGACCTTGCCGCTTGAACCACTCAAACCATCCTCTTCTCTGCTACCATTCTTTGAATTCAAACCTACCAATGTCAAAAGAGAAACATGGATTCACTTCTCAAGCCATATATAAGCATTATATTAACAAACTCAGATTTCTGATTGATTCAAAAGGGCAACAGTTTCTTCAACCAATCATCTCAGTAATGTCATTCCTATACTTTAATTTGTACAGTACTCTTTTACACTTATCATTTATCAAATAAAAGATATATATATATATATATATAGAGAGAGAGAGAGAGAGAGAGAGAGAGAGGGAAAAGGGAAGAAAAGAAGGTCTACTAACATTATTGCCATCGTATAGTACATTGTTTGGTTGCCAAAAGTGGATGAAAAGGAAAAATTCTTACATGAGAATATTTCTTACTCCAAAAAAAAAAAAAAATTCTATTGTTGAAAGAAACACATTTTTTAGTTCCCTCAGGATCTTCCTAATCCTACATTTATTCTTAACAATTAAAAGTAGAAAGGGTGATTGAATTGAAGACAGTGGGAAAATCCTCACAGAAAAAGAAGGGATTTTTCAAGTTTCAATAACAAATTACACCCTCAGATTTTTAGACAAATTCCCACAATCAAACAAATAAGACTGTTCCATTTGATAACTATTTTTATTTACTTTGGATACTTTGCTAAACACAACATAACTCATCACATACATAGTATAGTATTCATTTGAAGCAAGTCTTTCTTGTGTTTGAGTCATACATTTAATTCATTTGAGTAATACAATATTTGCAGGTGACTGTCCCTGTTCAATTACCTCTACAAACACCTAGTCGTGCGGCTGACAAATATATTTGTCGACAATCAGAAGGGGAAAATGTGAATGGTTCTTTCGTACAACCTGAACAGAGAGAGAATAATGTAAATGAACATCACTTTATTAGGGTTCTTAGAGGCATTCATTGAACACCATTTTTTGGACCACAACAACGATGATACCCATAACAAAAAAGAAGAAACAGCGATGAGCATACCTCTTGCGGTGGTTGCCTTGAGATTTTTAGACAGCCATGGTTCTCATCTATCATGCCCTTTCTGTCGAAACGCTCCCAAGTCGGCAGTCCAATCCAACCGATACTCACTGTGGAACACGGCCTGGAGGTCGGTCCCCTTGTGAAGGTTGCAGGGCGGAAACGTTGACACAGATAAATAAAGGAGACTCCTCCATATTTTATTTGTTCTCTTTTTAAGAAATAGTCCTTCGTTGCCAAAAACCAATTTTTTAATAAATATTACTAAGAATTTCTTAATTTTAGTGTCAATCGCGTGATTTTCATTAAATTAATCAAATAATTAGTCAAGCTATTTTTCAAAACCTTTTCTTGATCGCAATAAAAAACTACATACACATTTATTTCGTGTAAAAGGTTAAAGGACTTATTATTAGTTATACAGTGATTATCAGTCAAAGGTATTGAAGCTGAATTGAATAATAGAACTAATAAATCTCATCAAATATATTTAAATTTGACTTCAAATACAAATGCACTATTATACCAGTGACAAAGAACATATTGATTGTGCTGTTCTGAAAGCTAACCTGCAAACGTCGCAAAATGGGCTTTTGCCACCGTTCTTGCTGCCCCCCAAAACAAGGCAAACAAGGGAGAAAAAAGCATCAATATTTTTGGTAAATACTGACTAATAAAAGCAAATAGCAAATTACAATCGATTATAATTTAGATAATAGAACTCATAGGGGGATAATATTAACTCAGTACTGTATAGGTATCTTGGATCTATTGTTTAAAGTGATAGAGAAAAAGAAGATGTAAAACATAGGATTCAAGCTAGGTGGATGAAATGGAGAAATGCTTTAGGTGTTATTTGTGATTGAAAGGTGCCTCTCAAACTCAAAGGAAAATTTTACTGCACAGCCATAAAATTGACAATGCTTTAACGTATGAATGTTGGGTAGTAGAAAGCCAACAAGAGCATAAGCTAAGTGTTGGAAAAATAAGAATGTTGTGGTGGATGAGTGGAAATAAAAGTCAAAATTTGGAACAAATGCATTAGAGAGAAAGCAGAGGTAGCACCTATTGGGCAAAATATGGTAGAATCTGGCCTAAGATCATATGGTCATGTGAGAAGAAGCCCTAATAATAAGAGTTGATCAAATGGAGGACAGCCCAATAATTAGAGTTAGACGGAGACCAAGAAAAACTTTAAGGGAAATCATTAGACTTAGGTATCTAAATGGCGTTTCTGAAGACTTTGTTTATAACATAAGACAAAGGAATCTTTTGAAAATATAAAGGATTTTTTCCTTGAAACATATAGCCATTCAAGTTCATTCATTATTTCATACTAAAAATCTGTGAAGCCTAGGTTTTGTATTTTCTGGAACCTGGACTTGTAGTACCAGCTTTTTTTCAGAATACCACCCTTTTCTGATTACATTGCATAACTTATTTTTAAAATATCACTCTTGCTCTCATAAATTTGATTTCTCGGAGGTTTAATGATAACTTCATCAAGTGAGGTTCTCCATATGCACATTTGAAAAAGAACTTTTAAAAAGTTTGATTAAAGTATGTTCATGCCATCATCTCCGGACAAATGGCAAGTAATTTTTTTAGCATACTACAGCTAGAACCATTAATATGAAATACATCTTTCCCAGCTCATACACTAATGATGAATCATTCAAAAGCCAGAGGAAAAGTGCCTGTTCTTAGTAAACCAAGTACAAAATAATTAAGCATTAATTAAACTTAATTAATTCTAGCAGCTAGACCAACCAACATACATCACCATCAATATCCCCTGTATTCCAAACAAATTGAAGTTGGCGGTCAATAAACCCAAACAAACAGCAAGAAAAAATTGAGGGAAAAGAAAAATAAATAAGAAATAAATAAATACATAAGTAAATAAATAAATATAGGAAAGAAAGATTAAAAAGGGTTGTTTGCAACATAGGAAAAAAACGGATTTGAAAGATGGATTTTGAACATGTAAAGACACCATAATTTTTTACCTCAATAGCAGTATCAAGCCACAATTGCACAGGAATTGGTGAACCGAGAGTAGGTGTTATAAGTCCAGCTCTTTCACGAGCTTTATGATCCAATACCTCCAACTTGAAAATAAGACTCTCAAACCTATCCATCAAACATTTTAAATGAAAACTGGAAGAAAAAGACAGCAGCATATGTAATGCATAGCTTATACTAACATTACAGGATGATATGAAAAGATATGTGGCAAACAACCAAAAATTCAATGGCATAGAAGACTGACTCAAACCAAATGAAAAATCCTTGTTAGGTTGCACCAAAAGGTTTTCAGGACAGTCACATGTCAGGCCAAACCCAAAATTAAATATAAACCACTTTATAACACTGACAAAACATTCTGTTGGAAGTCTAGAACAACCACTTTCTATGTGTAGGATCCATATTTTGTTGATTTTCTTTAAAATAATGCTACTTTGATTCTAAATTCAAAATCTACTTATTAATTTCTATTATTCTATATAATAAAAGCTAATTTACTGTCACAAAAATAATAGTAAAATAATTTGACCAAACCATGATCAATAGTACCACATTCATTTCAAGCAAATACATAGCTCAGAAGACAAAAAAATGAAAACAAAACAGCCTCTAGCAAAATAGTACCACAAACACACACACTCTGGAATACATAGCTCAGAAGACAAAAAAGCAGTCTGGAATACATAGCTCAGAAGACAAAAAAATGAAAACAAAACAGCCTCTAGCAAAATAGTACCACACACACACATAATAGATAGATAAAAACCATTAAACTGAAACCAACCTCTAGCAACCAGAAATAAATAAATTAACTGAAACAATAAAGTCAGAATTCAGTCTAAAAAGTTACATTTCAGGTGTCAGAATCTTCCTTTTTTCTTCAACCAGAAATAAATAAATTAACTGAAACAATAAAGTCAGAATTCAGTCTAATAAGTTACATTTCAGGTGTCAGAATCTTCCTTTCTTCATTAAACTCTAAAAGCCAATCCTCATCTGCATTGTCCAAGTCATACTCAACAAACTCTCCAATCTCAGCCCGAGCTGCAACAAATGAAAGAACTTACAGTGCAAGAATTGAAATTTACAAAAGAACCTTCCAAAATTATTTCTAATATAAATAAATGATCTATCTAGTGCAGGTACCTCCTCTAGCCCGCAAATAGGAAGTTGGTTGAGAGAAAGTGCAAGAATAGTCCCTTTCGTATGTATCCACAACAACATACTGAGGAGTAGGTATTTCAGCAGCCAATTTCTTGCTGGGAGCTTGATGTACCTCAGAAAAATAAATAGAAATTACTGATAAAATTGACAATATTTCTATAACAAATACCTTATCAACTGGTTTCTTTCCTACTGTTAATTTTTTTATAGAGGAGCAACATCCATGATTACTTCTGAATATTTGAAATTTCAACTACCAAGGCTTCTATTCTGCACAATATTTATTACTTATTTATCATAGAAGCAAATGAGGTAATCACGACTCAGTAAATTAAAATAACAATCGTGCAGGTTAACATGGTGTACATCTTTCCCATTTGTGCAAGTGAAGGTCTAGTGAGATATAGTATAACAGCCATCACATTGATGCTAACTACAATCTAGCATATAGCTGGTAACTATTAGAACACTGATACAGATAATCCAAAAATATCCAGATTTAAACAAGCCAACATAGTGGCATACACCAAAAAGTTATCAAACAGAATAACTGGGAAACATGGTGCATTAACATAACACCAGGAAGAGCTCATACCTCATTTTCAACCTCAGGAACAACACGTAGCAATTGCGAATTACGGGTAGATGCGGGTGCCTCATCATCTTCAAAGTCCTTGATGGACTTGACAATGGGGAGCTTCTTGTGAATGTCAAGTGGTCGAGGCCTGAAAGACAACCTACTCATTTCTACTCATCTATTTATTCCCCTCTCATTTCCACTGTTTTGAGTCTTTTGATGCCACCCCTTCTTTCTATCCCTGGTTTTGAAACCACAAGTGACAATTTCTTAATCCTTGTGAAGCTAAAACCATATCAACACAATCATACCCGTAATTCGCAATTTAGGGCAGTGATAGAAGCAGAAATTGTTTAACAGAACTGTTCCATGGAGTAGATTCAGAAGGTGGCCCATCAATTTCTCAAGATTGAAGCTGTAAGTTGTCAGAACAATCAACCAATGAAAGTTGAATACATAAAGAAGAGAATAATAACAGATACAAAATCATCCACCCATTTAGATAAAGAACTAACAGACTGTCTTTGGGGGCCAGAGGATAAGCCAAAAAATCTTCGGTTGGGGGATTAGTCTCGTCCTTTCTCCGGTTGCGAAGCTTAGTGCACCCACTGTTACAATGAGGGGCTAGCCCAAACGGGCCGTACCCCGAGGGCATGGTGCCCGGAGAAGGTTGAATGAGGATACCTCCTGGCAATGTACCAAAAAAAAAAAAAAAGAACTAACAGACTGAGGTATTTGTTACTTTTAGTCTTCTCAATCTAACAGATAAAAATCATCCACTTCAGGGAAATAATAAACTATATCATAATCTCAATCTGTTACTTTTAGTCCCTCTTTTTGTTAAACGGAGGAGACTGTTTGGCTGAGGGGCTTGACAATGCCCTTCCTTTCATTAAATACTGCCAGGTATCATTTCTCCAATCCCTCATATGACACCAGACAAAAATATGCTATTCAAGGAACTGATCTTTCAGCTACCAGTAATCTTTACAAGAACAGCAACCTTCTTTGAAATGATGGAAACGAATAGTATCTCGAAGAATTATTTCTCTCTTCTCCACCTTCGAGATGAGCTTCATTGTTGTATGGCAATCAGAGCAAACTCTCAAATTCTTCATCACCCTCACTGGTGCTGATTTTGGTAAAGAAATAATTCCAAAAGTTACAGCTAACTTTTCACTATGGTGGTTCATGCTTATGGTGCTGCTGAATTCAGATTCAGAGATGCCCAAAGGAAGCCTCACATTCTCGAAGCTTATGTTCTTTATTTTTGCCAACATTCCTTCCAACCGTGAATAAATCAATTGACTCATTGGATGAGAACAATCATCCACCAAAAATGAATGAACCTTATTTCCTACCTCAATCCAACTTATACCAGGTTCCTTTTTAACTCCTCGGTCTTGCATGAGCTTCCTAACCTCTAAAGCAGGCTTCTCTTTCCCCGCATCATTGTAGATGTTGTAAAGAAGCACATAAGATGCAGCTGCATGAGGTTCAAGCTCTATTACTCTGTCAGCAACACGTTTTCCCATGACAGTGTCCTTATGAACCCTGCAAGCACCTAGCAAGGCACGCCATATAACTGGGTCATCCTCAAAAACTGAATCAAAAATAAAGCTTTGGGCATCCTCTAGCCTTCCTGCACGCCCTAAGAGATCAACAATGCAAGCACTGTGCTTTACATTAGCTGCCATGCCATAATCTTTCTTCATGATTTCAAAGTATCTTAATCCTTCTTCAATGAGACCTCCATGGCTACAAGCAGTTAGGACCCCAAGTAATGTGATCTGGTTGGGTTCAATTCCAGAAACAGTCATCAACTCAAAAAGTCTTAGAGCTTCCTTAGCAAAACCATGTTGTGCGTAGCTACAAATCATTACAGACCAGGATACCACATCAGGTTTCTCTGTCTCTTGAAAGGTCCGCTGAGCGGAATCTATGTCTCCAGACTTTGCATACATGCAAATCTGTGAGTTTTGAATAATGGTAAAACTTGCAATACCATATTTTAATGCATAACCCTGGATCTGCTCTCCAAGTCTTGCTGCAGCCATATCTGCACAAGCACCCATCACACTTGATATAATGAACTCATCTGGTTTCCTTCCAGAAGCCAAAGATTGATGGAACAAAGACAATGCATTTTCGAACTTTCCATTTTGAACATAACCTGCAATCATGGATGTCCATGAGACAACATCTAATTTAGGAGTTGAATTAAAGCACCTTAGCCCATCTTCCACTGAACCCAAAAAGGAGTACAAGTCCACTAATGAACTGCCAATGAATTCATTGGACTGAAGATTGTTCTTACAAATCTGAGCATGAATTTGCTTCCCAACCTCAAAATCTCCAACAGCAATACAAGCCTTAAGTATGCTCGAGAACGTAAATTTTGAGGACTTCAATCCTTGCCTTCGCATCCTGCAGAAAAGACACAGTGCTTCCTGTGCATATTCACTAGAGATTGTCTGTGCTTGCAGGAGTCTAGCAATCATGGCATTACACATGACATCATTTTGGTAGGGAACATAATTGAAAACCCGAATTGCATCCTTTAAACATTCAGTCTTGGCATACATATCGAGCAATGCAGTTCCAACAATGACACCCAAATCCAAACCAAGCTTGACCGTGTATCCATGAAGCATTTTCCCATAACAGCTCAAACTCCTCTTCGCACAACACACCTTAAGTACACTTCCTAAAGTATAAGCACTAAACATCAAGCCAGACCGATGCATTCCCACAAGAAGCTCGAAAACCTCTTGTTCACTACCTAACCTAACATAACCAGCAATGAGTGAATTCCAAGAAACATCATCCAATTCATCACAAGTCTCAAACAAACGCCTTGCCGGCTCAATCCGGCCGCATTTCGAGTACATGCCAATAAGAGAATTGATCATGAATACCATTCCCTTCAATCCACTCACAACAACCAAACCGTGAATCACCTTCCCTAACTGCACATCCACAGTGTAACCACAAACGCCCAAAACCCCTGCATAGGTAAACTCATCAGCCCCAACGCCAGCCCTTCTGGCCTCACCAAACGCGTGCAAGGCCTTTTCATACAATCCCATTTGGGAATATCCAGAAATCAAGGAGTTATATGAAACAATGTTTCGTTGGGGCATTTCATCAAACACGTTCTGGGCAGCATGCAAGTGACCGAGCTTAGCGTACAAGAGAAGAAGATTGTTGAGCAAGAAGGGGGATGGTTGAATTGAGAGCTTGATGATGTGGGCATGAACGAGTTTTCCCGGTAAGGGGGACCCGCTTCTGATAGCTGAGTGAACCAGTTTGGTGCAAGTTGAAGGGTTCAGCTTTTGGAGCAGGGACATGGACAGTTTGATTGAATAAATACAGGAGAAGCGATATTTAGAAATTGATTTAATATGGTTTGACTCTAATATAATGGTGGTAATTTATTCAGAAATTGATTAATTAATATAATTTAATAAATTATTAGGTGAAGGGAAGTTAATAACTGAAATGGATAGTAAATAATTTTGATCTTA